CCCCCCCCCATTACCCCTCCCCATTTTCTCCAATCCGTTGTTTGTGTGCGCTTCCTTCCCCGGTGCCTTCATTTTTCAAGTACTGTACACCACTTGGAGAGGCAGCGGCACTGAATGACACTGACTGCGCTGCGGTGATGGCGCGCCAAAGCCCTGCCGCTGGGTCGTGCTGGGTGACTGACAGGTACGAGAGCGTGTTTGTCTTTACCGCCGCTCCCCTCCACCCGCATCCTCTCTCTCTCGCGCGCACACACACACACACACAATGACTAACTCCAACAACACAAGTGGCCGGCAGCAACGTGTCCGTCTGTGCAAATCAAATTAACATGCGTGGGCGCGCGGCCGGCCAAGGTAACCGCCTGACTGGCGCTGCTGCTGCTGCAGAACACAGTCGGCAGGGAGGAGAGGCAGACGGAAGCCGGAAGCACCCCCAACGCCAGCAGACGACAGGAGCCGTGGGGAGGGGCGCACGGCGCACAGCGCACTGCAGCGCAGGCATCACAGACGTGAGGGCAACGCCCCACTGCAGAGTACAGAATGTGGCCGCCTAGCAGTCACTGTGAATACTACCCCATCAACACGCAAACATGAGGTTGCAAAAAAAAGGAGAGAAATGCTGCTTTTGTTTGTTTGCCGTTTTAGCGACATGTTTTCAGCAGAATACTTTTTTGCGGGAAAGAAAGTTTTCTATTTGAGTAATTTTCTAGTATTTTTTGGTTTATATTTCTGTGTATCTCTATGTATTTTGGAGTGTTTTGTTGAATTCTCGTTCCCTTGCCTATTCTTGTATTAATGTGCATATGTTTTAATTTTTTATAAATAATTTGGCCTTTCTTGGATTGCTGTAACTGCTGGGTTTAACAGCAAAAAAAGTTAAAAGCAGGAGCAATTTGCTGTAAGTAAAAGTTATCCAAATTTTGCAATAAACGTTGATGAACGACAAACAAAAAGTCAGCAATCTTTAAATAGAAAGCATTATTTTTAAGATCACTCTCTGCGTTGAAAAGACTACTACTTGTAGGGGGCCACGCGACTCGCACGTGACTCGCCGTGACTCTGACGCTGGCCCGGGCCGGCAGGTCGTTACTGTTGGCCAACGACAACGCGACCCGGTCGGTCGGCCCCCAACCTGACCTGCAATTTGGTGCGAGCAGCTTGCTCAACTAACTGCATCGTAATCACGATAATTTGACGCCTTGACAGACTCGGCCCCCGCGCTGCTGCCAGTCCGCCGACCGGCCGGCCGGCAGGTCTGACAGACTCGCAGTACCTGAAAGTCTCGTACAGTCCTTCCTGTTTCTCTTCTTTTGGCTAACAGGGGTGTCCTAGGGGGGAAATTGGTGCATTCTAAGAGAAAGGTGTAGTAATATCGACGATCGACCCTACTGGTGAGCACGTGGAGTTCACAGGTTGACTATATCGGAGCGCAGGGCAGGCAGTGTTTAGTTTGATAGACAGTCTCGAAATACAACCAGCACTGGACAAGAACAAGTTTTCATTACATTTTGTTTTAAAACTGATATTATAGAATTATATTTCTAAACATGGACAACTTGTTGAAAATCTCAAAACTTTCAAACTTTCAGATAAAAAATATTTATTCAACTATTTATCTGTTATGTTTCGCTCCAACAACAGTTTCGAAATATTCCAACGAAAGGTTTAACAGTGCACTGTTGCATGTATTGACTATACAGCATTCCGGTAAAGCTGAAATGCAGAATAATGTATGCAACAGGAAAACGGAAGTCACCATGCTAGAGCATAGCGATTACCGTTTTCTTCTTCCCCGCATTCTTCAGCATTTCAGCTTTACCGGAATGCTTTATTCCCTAGGGATGAGACTGGGTGATCTTGCCCCATTCACATCCAGTCCTACGCAGGCCCGGATTGCGGTGCGCTGGTCAGTTCGCTCTACGGTAACGACCTGCTCCGCTCCGCACCATCCTTTTCGTTCGTCTGTCTCGCTGCAGCACGATGGTGCCCCGCTGCACGTATAAATGACCCCCCTCACCCCCCCCCAACAAATCCTCCACCCCCGCCTCGCCCCGCCGGCCGATAAGATAACGAGACTCACAGAAATCACATAGTGTGTCGTCGCGCCGCGGCGGCTCTTCGAGGCGTGGCGCGGCGTGGCGCGGGGTGGCGCGGCGTGGCAAAGCCCAGCGAGTGGAAACATCGAGCTGAGCTAGCAGACGACTCGGCAGTGACAACACAGTGGGACAACGCAGTGAATCGAACCACCGAGTCGTGGCTAAAGGCCCGCGGCCGGTCCTAACCTCTACAAAAACTCACATTGAGGTGTGTGTTTGTGTGAAGACGTGATGTCTGCCTTATCGGGCGTAACACCAGGGCGCGCCCTGGACGTGACGAGCGAGCTGCTCGCGAGCAGGCGACTCACCAGAGTTGTATTCTCTCGAGGCGTTGTTACTGCGCTGCAGGAACTTCCGGCGGAAGCTGTTGTAGGCGCCCACCTCCTGGTCGCGGTAGCGCACGCGCGCGTGGCTCGGTACGAGGTGGTGGCCGGACATGCCCAGGTCCATCTGCAGGTCCACGACGAGCAGCAGCGTGAAGAGCACGGCCGACACGCTCAGCCCCAGGACGAGGCGCTCCTTGAGCTTCATGGTCCTCATGCGCGCGGCCTTGAACGGGAAAGGCGACGAGGACGGCGTCGACGACAACGAGGACGACGACGACGACGGCGAGGCGGCGGGGAACGCGCCGGCTCGGCTGCGCGGGCAGGCGGCGGTAGGAGGACTGCCGGCGGGCGCGCGCGAGCTCTTATAGCGCGACGCGGGTGGCGGGCTGCGCGCGCTGCGCGGGCCCGCTTTGAAAACAGATGGCAAACTGTACACACTTTTCGGGGCGTCAGCATTCAACGCCCCGCCGGGGCCGCTGGTCCGCGCGCCGCCGCTGACACCGCAGGGTGCGCAGGCCGAGGGGACGGTGGAGGAGCAGGAGGCCGAGGGGGCCGTCCGCATGGAGGAGGGTTGGTCGCCCTGGCGCCGCCCCGCGCGAGACACGAGCCCCAGCCGCGCCGCCTCCGAGAAGGGCAGGGACAGCACGGGCAAGAGGACCGCGTCGAGCGTCGGTGGCGGGGTCTGGGGCGGCGGAGAGAACTTGAGCTTCTGGCGTCGGTCCGGGCCCGGGCGGGGGCTGGGCCCAGGGCTCCCCCGCGCGGCGGGGCCCTCTGCGCGCGGCGACGGCTGTGGGGGCGCGACTGGCTGCGGCTGCTGCGGCTGCTGCGGCTGCTGCGGCTCCGGCTGCTGGGCTCGCGCAGGGCTGCCGCCTGAGTAGCATGCTATCGCTACTGCTGCCACGGTGTGGCAACCCGGCGACCGTGTGGCTCGTCAAGAGATGATAGCGGGGCGTCGTGGCGGCGCGGGCCGGCGGGCGGGCGCTAGCGGCGCGTCACTGCAACAGACAAAGCACAACATGAGGCCCAGGACCAACAAGCTTGGTAAATCCAATAAACGTGAGGGGGGGGGGGCTTGAAGCCGAGAGGCCAGCGCGCTACAAACGGCGCCAGCCCCCGAGCCAGCGAGGGCGACGAGGTCGCAAATGTACAACACGGCAAGCCCTCCTAAATGCGCGCGCCGGGCCACCCCTTTACACGCACACAGCCTCGCGGGCCGGCGGGGCCCTAACGACCAGAGGGGGCCGCCGGGCCGGGCCGCCGGCAGCGCAATCTGAAGCCCGTTTGCGGAACCTCTCTGCCCGGCCGGCGTGTGCGGTGGGATGCCGAGCTGCCAGGCGTCGCGCCCGGGCAAAGGGGGGGCGGGGAAGCAGGAGCGGGCGGACAACCCCGCGCCAGCAGCGCCCGTTAAATTAAATTAGGAGAAATTCGGCGGACGGGCTCCTGCCCCCCCCCCTCCCCTCCCCGAGCGTACAAGGAAGGCTGCTGGAATGAATGACATCGTTTGCTGAGTCCCACATCAAGTGCACGGGGGCTTATTCCTGAATGGACCGACCGGGGCCGACACGGCGGCTGATGGAGCAGCTCCCGGCTGGACCGCACGCCGGCCGGCGGCGCGGGTGGTTGGGCCGCGGGTCCCGTTGTGCCGGGCTGCCGGCGGACGCGCGCTCGTCGAGCAAAAATCACATTTGCATTTCCATTATATTTCCTCGGGATGCTAATGGCCTGGCGTTACACTATTCCTTGCAGAGCCGGGGGGAGGGGGGCACCTCAGGCACCTCGCTCGGGGAGCTCCAGTGTACTCTGACTGCAAGCCAGTTTTCCTCCCCTGCGCATTTAATACGAGCTCCACACAGTCCTCTGACCTCCCGACCTCCCACAATTCAGATCGACGTGGTAGGAGCCAGCGAGAGAGTGAGTCAGAGACGGAGCGAGCAAGAGACCGTGGAAGAGAGAGAGAGAGAGTGAGATTGGGAGCCCTTAGAACGTGCCTACCACCTCGCTGAATTAACCACTGTAGCTCTGCCGCCGCCACGCACCGCCGGGAGAGAATGTCGAGTAACAAATGAACGCCTTGGCCTCACTCTGGAGGAGGAATTCAGCTCCCCAATCTCAGCCACCGGCAACGGCGCGGGGAGGAAGTCGGAGACCGGAACGGGTGTAATAAGTGGCGCCCTCCCCTCCCCCACCACGGAAAAATGTTTGCGTTTTACAAACAACTACGGTGTGGTGGTGGTCTGGGGCGGTGCAGTGTCCCCCACTACTGCTCGGGGCATGCCGGGCGCTGGTGGTGACCTTCTTCCGAAGAACTCCGCGAGGTGCAAAAAGGGAACCGGCCTCACCAACGAGAAAGCCCCCCTGCGCGACGACTCCTGCACACCTGAGCGCCTCGCAGAGGGGAGCTGCCCGGAGTTAGCAAGAAGTGCGGTTAGTTATGCGTTTAACAGCGCGTCACGTAAAAACTACTGGGGCGCGTCTCGTTTAGTTGTTTGAAAGAGTTGCTCGTTAGCGGAGCGGGCGGAAATCCATCAGGGTACGGGACGGAGCGAGGCAAGGAGGTGCCCAGGGCAGGGGAAAAACAAGGAGCTTGAAGCGTACGACCAGCAGGCAGGCAGGCTCAGAGTGAGACTCTCCAGCACCTTTGGAGATACTACTGTGATGGCGCATTTATCGGCGATGATCGGGTACGAGAGAGAGCCCCCCTTCAAGAAAATAGATTAGACATTAAGTCGCACACGCGCTTGTGCGTGACACTATCGTGTGCGTGATAATACCCAGCCGTTCCACGCAGGCCAGGGGTCAACACAATTGCACCAACATTTTCATTCCATCTTCCTTCCTTTATTTTTATTTTTTTTCCAGAAGGTATGCTTCCACTGCAGCCTCAGCCTTCCGCATGCAGATTCCACCTGCCCCGCCCCCCTCCCCCATCTCTCTCCTCTCTCTCTCCTGCCGATGCTCCCCGATAACAACAGAAGGCCGGCTGACCCCCCGCCCAGCCCAGCCCAGCCACAGCCGAGGCCCCCCGAGGGCCCCACGCCCCGCCTGTCAACAGGTAACTGGTAGCCGCACCGCCGCACTGCTCCCGCCCCCCTGGAGTTCACGTTATCGGACGAGTGAGATAGACGATACGCTCGCGAAAACACACACACACACAGCCACAGGGGTGATTGTACCGGTGGTTGGTTGTTTTGCATACATCGTTGAACCTAGAGCAACTCCCCGCCTAATGCAAAATGAAAAAAAAATAAAAAAAATAAAAAACTTTTTTCTCAATACCTTATGCTGTCAGGCTTTGACAAAACATCAAGCAATTTTTGAAGTATACCAACAAGGGCGGCATATTTGACATTCCAAAAAGTCTCTAAATTTTGATGGCAAGAAAATAAACGTTGCGCGGTGCACTGAAGAAAAGCAGTATAGTAGTTTTCACAGTGTGGAACACACCAGACAGTGCTTTATTTCTTCGCCTTCCCCACCTGTCGCCTGATGGCCACGCCCCTGCTCCCTTCACCACGCGCGTTGCAGCCGCCAGCGTCCTGCGCGAGGATCACTGCCGTGCAGGGCGGGGCTGGCGGGGCTGGCGGGGCTGGCGGGGCTAGCGGGGCTGGCGGGGCCAGAGGGGCGCTATTTCACGTGCGCCGTGACGATTAACCCTCTGGGCCTTGGCCTGGCCGGGGAGGAGTACGATGGGCCGCCACAAATAAAAACAGTGCGCGGGTAAGTATACGGCGGCGGGACTGCACGCCACGTGACGCGTACAAGAGCAGTGTAATGATGAGTAGTGTGCATGTTACTCCTCGCCCTTCCCACGCGCAGAGAGAGAGAGAGAGAGAGAGAGAGAGAGAGGGGGGGGGGGAGAAATATTGACTGGTAGAGTTGTCGGGGCGGGCCGGGACTGGACTGGAGACCCCGACTGCGTGACGGGACAGAGTTACCTACAAACTTACGGGGAGATGATGACGCTTCTTTCAAGAGCCACGAGGCTCAGGGAAACAAACAACAAAGAGGGGAAAATGGGAAGAGACTTTTTATTTTGCGAGTTATTCGTGTAATTTATAATTTATTTTTTTCGGACTGACTTTGTTCTTATGGCACGAATGTATTTCATACCACCTCACGCAACGTTCGTACATACACGACTGCGCACCGGGCTGCTCAAACATGCATGACATGTCCACTCCAGGGGGCGTGGCGGGTCGTGGCGGGTCGTGGCGAGGTCGTGGCGGGGTCGTGG